CACATACACACACAGAAAGGGGGGATATATAGAGAGATTGATCCGAAGGAAATGGCTCACACAGTTGCAGAGGCTGGCAAGTCCCAAATCCGTGGGTCAGATGCCAACCTTCATAGCAACTCATCCTAATGGTTACAGTAGATTACCTCACCAAGTTGGCATTCTTCATTTTCTTTTTGTATCATACTTGTCAAGGGGCTCTGGTGGCATAGTGGCTAAGACACTTGACTGCTAACCAGAAGTGTCTGCGGAAGGAAGACTGGGCAATCTATTTCCATAGAGTTACCGCCTCAGAAGTGCAAAGGGGTTGCTATGAATTGGTATCAACTCGATGACAGATTTTTTTGGGGGGGTTATCATACTTGTCACTTGTATTCATGCTGAGGGTTATCCTGAGGAACAGCTGCAGCTTCTCTGGGTTCACAAAAGCTTATAGGTGTCCTCTGTTATGTCTCTGACCCCACCTTATAAAATGGCCACCTCTTCATCCTGTTGGTAGGCTACAACCATAGTATCATGAGGAACCTGATAATCTATACCAGACCCACTCTCCTATGGACCTACTTCAGTTAGAACCAACTTGCTCAACATCTTCGTGCACTCTCAATCACTGGCTTTCTGACTGTGCCCCACAGATGATCTGATTTTACAACTCTCTAAGTCCCCTTAAACTGGTATTAATTTTTCTGCCATATAACATTCAAAGAATGAAACCTTGTTTTATCTCACAGCCACTTCTGGAAATGACTGTATCCTTTCACCTCCAACACACTGCACAGCAGTTATACCTCTCTGCCCTTAACTTTCTTGTATCCCTTGCTGCTACTTGAAGGCCTTGTGGCTGCTTGCGAGGGTAAACCTAACCACTGCCGTTGAGCTGGACCTGACTCACAGCGACCCCTCCTTGGGGTTCCAAGGCAGTATCACTACAGAAGTAGATTGCCCAACCTTCCTTCCGAAGAGTGGCTGGTGGGTTTGAAACTCCAGCCTTCTGGTTAGTGGTCAAATGCCTTAGGCACTATGCCACCAGAGCTCCCAGGGTAAATCTAGGAGACCACAAATTGGCAAAGGGGAATGATTAGCACAAGTCCACCAAGTTAGAGTGTTGGCTCTACCATTCCATCTGTACTATTCTTCCATTTGGAAGCAGGTGTGATGATTTTAAGAAATTTCCAAATTCTTTGATACTACTTTTTTCATCAGATGGAGGCTAATTTCCCTCCCTAGGTTTAGATGTGTCATGAGGGACTGAATGCTGGAGAGTATATCATGTTTGGTCACCTGGAAGGGGGTGAGGGAAACCCTCAAGGAGACGGACTGATACAATGACCAAAACAATGGACTCAGACATACCAATGATCACAGAGGTGGTCCAGGACTGACAACATTTTGTCGTTATACATGGAGTTGTGTGAGTCGGAGATGATTTGGTGGCAACTACCAATAGACTTAGTGATTCCTAGCAAATAGCATAAAACAGAAGTGACGGCAACTTTGGAGACTAGGCTAGAAAAGGCACTGTGCTCCCTGTTCTTTCTGATCACTCACTGTGGGGCAGTACAGCTGTCATGGTGGCAGTCAGTGGAGAGGGCCATATAGTGAAGAACTGAGGCCTGTGCCAAGAGCCAACAGGGAATGAGGCCTCCTGCTCAAGGCTGTGTGAATGAGCCATCTCGGAAACAGACCCTCTATCACCAGTCAAGCATCCAGATGACTGCAGCCCCTACTACTTCCACAATCCTGGTAGATAGTGACCATATAGTTTTCAGAGATGACTGTCCATATTTTGGAATCCACTGAATGACCTTAACTTTTCAACTATGTATTTTGAAGGTGTCCAGGGCAGAGAGAGTTTCTACATCTGTTCTGTTGGCCTTAAAATCCTACCCCAACACTTGAGGTAGGTGATTTTGCTATCAGTCTGTAAAATATTAAAAAAAAAAAAAGAAAAAAAAACTCGCCCTGAAACCTCCATTTTTAACTCACTGCTTTAACTGCAATGAAATGACTGTTAACTATTTAGATATAAAGGATGACCCCCCACGACCCCCATAACAGCTATAACTTAGGTTCTCTCTGCCTGGGAGCACCATATAACAAAGAGGGGCTCTGCCCAGGGCAGTCCCCAAGTCTCCTGAGTCCCCAGATGGAAGTCAGACTGCAGGGAGTGCATCATGGTGCGCTGCTTTGCGTGAAGCCAGGTGTGTGGGCTCACTGCTCGGAGAGGCCAGAATGCAGAGAGCTCCTTAGTTATCCAGATCCCATCATCTCCTACGAACCATCAAAAATGATACAGCCTCAGGCGTCTAAATGACAAACTTCACAGTGCACTGTGTACCTGCAATTTGATACTGGGTACCAAGTGAAGAGTAGAAAAGAAAATTGTAGCAGTTAAAACATTGATCCTTGGCCATAATAGATTGTTCCACCAGACTAATTTTTTTTAAAGTAGCTTTATTTATTGTAAGATTATATTCTTTAATAAGTAAAAGTATAATGAATATATTGCATGTATTATTGGTAAGTACCACCAAGTCGGTTCCAACCCACAGCGACCCTATGTAAAACACAATGAGACACTACCTGGTCCTGCACCAGCCTCACAATCCTTGCTATGCTTAGGCCTATCACTGCAGCCACTGGGTTACGCCATCTCACTGAGGGTCTTCCCCCTTTTCCCTGACCCTCTACTTTACCACACATGGTATCCTTCTCCAGGAACTGGACCCTTCTAACAACATGACCAAGGTACATGAGACGAAGTCTGGCTATTCTCGCTTCTAAGGGACACTCCAGCTGCACTTCTTCCAGGGCAGATCTGACCATTCTTCTGGCAGTCCTTAGTATTTTCAGTATTCTTTGCCACCACCACAATTCAAAAACATCAATTTTTCTTCAGTCTTTCTTATTCGTTGTCCAGCTTTCACATGCATACAAGGTGACTGAAAACACCACAGCTTGGGTTAGGCGCACCTTAGTCTTCAAAGTGACACCTTTGCTCTTCAGCACTTTAAAGGGTCTTTTGCAGCAGATTTCCCTAGTGCAGTATGTCTTGACTGCTGCTTCCATGGATGTTGATTGTGGACCCAACTAAAATGAAATCTTTGACAACTTCAATCTTTTCTCCATTTATCATGATGTTGCTATTGGTCCAGTTATGAGGATTACATATATGACATTCCCCAAATCCCACCAGAGAGAAACAATTATAATGACCTATTCTATACATATTTTCTTTCATTCTTTGTACCTATAAGTACAAGCATGCATGCGCACGCACACACAGATTTTTAAAAAAGGATCCATACTACAAACTTTGTTGCTTCACTCATTTGTGGGCAACCTTCAACATTGTTATAACTGTACCTGAACGATTTTGGTGCTTTCACCTTGTATACAACTACCTTAACTTATTTAAGTGATAAACTTGTATGTCCAACGAACACTTGGCACATTAACTTTTCTTTTTTTGCTGTTGTAAAAAATGTTACAGGACTTGGCTATATACATCCATTTTCTCACATGTGCAACTACCTCCTAAGTATAAATTACTATACATTTATTGCCACTTCAGCGGTTATACAACTTGAATTTGATATGCTAATAAATTCTTTCCAAAACAACTGTACCTATTTTCCTCTAACCAATAGTGCATAAGAGTCCATGTGTCTATACATCCCTGCTGGTGGTGGATTTGGCAAAATCTATTGTACCACTGATGATCTGACACATTAAAAACAGCATTTTCTTAATTTTTTATTCTAGTATTTGTAATGTTAAAAAAGGTATGAAGTGAAATGGGGTAAAAATAGTATTTCATGATAGTAATATAATTCCTAGGAATACATTTAAGAAAATACAGAACTTAAGAAAATCTTAAAAAAAATATTCCTGGGGGATCATAAAAATATGATTCTGTTCTTTGTGGAAAAAAGAGTGTTTTCAAAATGAAAAATAACATTTCAAAGATAAAAAGTTGTTTCCAAATTAACCTATGAATTCAATGCAATCCCAGTTAATAGTCCAGTAAGATTTTGTTTTTCAAACTTGATTAAATAAAATATTCCTGAAGTTTTATTACAAACTGTCTTTGGGAGGTTTGCCTCTGAAGTAAAACACAACCACAAGCATGATGGAATGTGACAGAGATCCATTACCCAGAGCTGCTAAGAGGAGGACTTTCCCTCTCCCTGCTCCCAGCCTTCTACGTTACAGGCAGCAACACATGTTAATGTCATCTTTTATGTTTTAAAAACACTATCTTTAAAAAGGCATACATGAACCTGTTAGCTAGATGACAGATTGGTTCATAAATATTACCAATGAGCACTGAATACCTTTCAAAAATCATCTCTATATGAGACCAAATGGTCAATAATTACTCTAAGGCAAAAGTGAAAGGGTAAGGGGGCAGGGGCACCAGGTTACAAAGGGAGTAAAAGAGTATGTTAAAACAATGCGAAAAATGTAACCAGTGTCTCTGAACAATTTGTGTAGTAATTGCAAGCCTAATTTGCTATGTAAACTTTGACCAAGAAAACATTTTTTTAAAAAAGGCATACATTATAATGGTCTTAGTAAGGTGACAAACTATTTTATTTGTCCCATTTATAGGTATTTTCCCCTACTAGGGATCCATGTCCAAAATAGGCACCTTTGATACATTCATGCTACTTCTTTGTAAAAGCTCTCTCCTAGGCTGGCTCTGAGTGAGGCAAGTGACAATTTTTACCAAAGCCATTACCATACCATTTAAGGATTATTCTGCTGTGTGACACACTTAAAGACTGAAGTTTGTGACTAAAGTGCTTACTCTTATTTATCAAAATTTCACATCTTCCCTCTTCCACAGACTAGCTGATGACTTTGAAAAATTCAGCCTTGACAGCAGCCCTTCACACATTAACTCATAAAGTCTTTCTCCTGGGTTGGCTCTCAAATAAATATAAAGGTTTGAGTTCTAACTAGAGTCTTCAACTTATATCTACTAATAAAGGTTCTCACTTAAAATGCACTCTCTGATGAATTGGCAGATAGGACCTTCGACTGTAGCTTTTCCCACACTCCTCACACTTATAGGGTCTCTCTCCCGTGTGGATTCTCTGATGAAGTTGAAGAGAGGAGCTCTGACTAAAGCTCTTCCCACACACTTCACACTTATAGGGCTTCTCTCCAGTGTGGACCCTCTGATGGCCTTGAAGATGGGAGCTCTGACTGTAGCTTTTCCCACATACATCACAGGTATATGGTTTCTCTTTGGTGTGCACTCTCTTATGGCTCAGGAGACCGGAGCCAAATCTGAAGCCCCTTCCACACTCGACACACGTGTAGGGTTTCTCTCCTGTGTGTAATCTCTGATGAGTGCGAAGATTTGAGCTATAACTGAAACCCTTGCCACACTCATCACATGTATAGGGTTTCTTTCCTGTGTGGACTCGCTGATGTTTGTGAAGATTTGAGGTGCACCTAAAGCCCTTACCACACTCTTCACATTTATAAGGTTTCTCACCTGTGTGGATTCTCTGGTGAGTAAGAAGAACTGAACTATAACTGAAGGCTTTGCCACACTCAGCACATTTATAGGGTTTCTCTCCTGTGTGGACTCTCTGATGAATGAGGAGGTCAGAGCTGAAAAGGAAGCTTTTACCACACACATCACATACATAAGGCCTCTTTCCAGTATGGATTCTCTTGTGACTATGAAGGTCCGAAATCCGCCAGAAGCCTTTCCCACACTCAGCACACGTATAGGGTTTCTCTCCTGTGTAGACCATGAGAGGGTCAACACTTTGCCTGGAGTTCTGACCACACCCAATATTTGTAGATGATACTACTGCTAAGAGGATGCTTTGATGTATGACAGGAAAGGCATTCTGTCTCACATCCTGCTGATAATCATAGTGTTTCTCTTCCAAGTGCACTTGTGGATGAATGGGAGGCTTTGAGTCATCCCTGAGGCCTTTCCCACCTTCCTCACCTTTAAAGCCATTCCCGCTAGAGTTAGGGTGATAAAGTATTCCCTTGTCAATGCAGTGTCTTCGATACTCATCACATTCATAAGGTTTCTCTCCCTCAGGTAGTCTGCGATCACCATGGTGATGTGACATCCAGCTGAAGCCATACTCACCCCAGTCACATTTATACAGTGCAGCTTCTGTGTCGATTTTCTTACCACTTCCTTGAACATTCCAAGGCTCGTTCACAAGGGCCCAAGACTCCTGAATGGGGACCGGGCTCACAGCTTTCCAAGTAGGAAACTCTTGACTCTCTACATTGATGACACCCTTCCCTTGAAGACCGTCCACCAGATTCTCAACTTGAAAACCCTGAGTAGATTTGCCTTTTGACCCTTGATAGTGAGAAGCATATTCCGAAAACTGGAAATCTCTCCCTTGAAGATTTACTTGATGGTCCTGACTCCCAGTTAATTCACCAGTCACCTGTTCCCAGACTTTCCAGTAGGACAGCTCTTTGTGTAAAAGGACTTTTAATTCATTTTCTTGAATACACTCTATATCCTCTTCATTCGTGTCTCCTGTGGGGTTAAAGACAATTCAGAGATGAGAATAAGTTAAAGACTGGCTCAGGGATTTCAGCCTTGGACCAAGTATTGCTCAAAACTCAGCTTTGGGTGTCCTATCAGGTCTGGAAGGAAGATGGGGCAATCTACTTCCATAGTGATACTGCCTCGGAAACCCAAGGAGGGGTCGCTATGAGTCGGGTCTGACTCGACGGCACTTAACAACAACAACTATCAGGTCATTTAATTTTTATAACTGACAGAAGGAAGAGCTTTCTATTAACAAGCTTTGAAACTCAATGTCTCCTTGTAGAGTTGCACAGAAAAAGAAATACCAACCACATCTTTACAGAGAAATTCACTTCTCTAGTTACAGTGCTGTTGCTAATAGTATGTAACACTATTGTCACTCTATTATTTCACTATACATATGGATCGTATATTGTATATAGAGTGAGACATGTGGGAGCTGGAACTCAACAGGACTGTCTTGTTTTTCCAGATCTGACAGGTTTTCTGCCTTTGACAAGGTGCAGTCACCATTCAACTATTCCTCTCTATCTAGTGGAAAATATTTAAGCTTTCCTTCTCTAGGTCCCAGCTTTCCTAGTAAAACCTAACAGGTCCTTGGGTGGCACAAATGGTTTGCCCTTGACTTTTAATCAAAAGGTTGGTGGTTCGAATCGACCCAGTGTACCACAGAGGAAAGGGCTGGTGATCTGATTCCATTAAAATTACAGCCAAGAAAACATCATGAACCTCAGTTCTACTCTGTAACATAAAATGGCACCATGAATCAGAATCAACAGGACAGCAATAGGTTTCTGTTTTTTTAAAAAAATAGATCTAACACTATAACAACATGTCCTATGAACATATGCTATACATGTCCTCTAATGATGTACACACAATCATTTATTTAATCCTCAGAATAACCTTCTGGTAGGAACTATTATCATCTTCATTTTGCAGATGAGGAAACAGAGGCACAGAGAGGTTAAGTAACTTAGTTATGTTTGAGGGAGTAGTGGAACTGGGATTTGAACACAGGGACTCTAGTTTTAGAGCCAATACTCAGTGTTCTAAGTACACTGCTAGGAGTAACTCATTCTGGATATGTGTAAACTGAACTTGGGGGCAGGAACAAAATTCCCCAACCTCTAAAAACCACAAGCCATGGCTGTGTCTCTGTGAGCAGCCTACATAGGAATCCAGATGACACTGTTAAGGTGCAGAGATGGAAAGCCACTCAACTTATGCACATTAGTCATTGGAAGCTACTGAACTGCCACATTTATCATGCAGTCCATGTTGTGTGATATTCTTATTGGCTGTTTTCATGTTGCAGGGCTGAGTTACCAGGAATCCTTTTATAACCAGGGGCTTCTTGACACTTGAGTCAAGTCTGGTGGTAAGTGAGAAATTCACCAGAGGACTCTCAATATTCTGGGGTGATCTCCCTGCCCCATCATCTGGCTGTCCCTATCAGAGGAAGGAAAGTCCAGACATCCCTCCCTCACTCTGGGTATGTCATTTTCTGAAAAGCATGGGGGAACCATGAGGAGGTAGGGACTGGGAAGTAGGCTTGAGCAGAACAATCATGTACAATGGCACTGACGGTACCACAGGCAGATCAAGGCTGGGCAGTGGGGCACCTGTGTGGCCAGCTTGCCTACTCACTGCCTAGCCAGGCTCCCATCTCCACGGTTCTCACCTGGATATGTATCTGTTGGAATTTCTCTCTGTGTTGCCCAAGTTTCTTTATCTTGGTTCAAATGGGATATAGTATTAGATTTGAAAGGCTGTTGTCCTGAAAATGCAAGAAGATGCAAAGTTTAGGCTCATTTTCTAGATACAAAACATAATATGAAAAATCCCATGATTTTTTGTCTGCCTTTCAAAGGCAGACAAGGAAAAGATTCAGGACTGGCCAAATAGAATGACTTTGGAACCGTTCTACAAAGAAAGGTTTTAACCTGAATACAAAGACCAAAATATTCCCTCCAGGGAACGAGAATACTCCAACAAGCTAAGTTTCACTGACCCAGAGGTTCCCCTCACCCGCAGAGACCAGGTTCCTGAAGTTCTCCAGCATCACGTCTCGGTACAGCCTCCTCTGGGCCGAGTCCAGCAGTTCCAGCTCCTCCTCGGTAAAGACCACAGCCACGTCCTTGAATGTCAGTGACTCCTAAAATGTGAACCACCATTAACACAAACATGTACTGGTGAAAGATGAATTTGGCATTGTTAAGGAAAGCAGACAAGAGAGCAGGAAGTTGATCAGTGTGGACAATCACAGCAAGTTTTATTCATGTTTGGTGGCAACAATTTGGAGTCCACCAACTGACCTCCAATGGTTAACCAAAGAGTAAAGCCAAGACCATTCTTTGCTCAGTGTGAGCACCTCTGAGAGTAATTCCTAGAACTGAAATGGTTTAATCAGAATCTGCACATTTTACAATTTGACTCTAATTTGTGGACTACCAACTTTTTCCCCCAAAAAGACTGTGACAGCTTACAGTTCCAACAGTGCCTAACTGAGCGGGCCCATGCCCACACTTACCCATGTGAGTGTTATCACTGCTGTCTGCCACAATCAGAGTTCTTCCCAGTCAGCCCCTCACCCCGCCATCAGCAGCTAGACAAACCCTGCTCTTTGCTGCCACCATTTGGTCTCTCTTGCCTCTGAGTCAACTCCTTTCATGGCGACCCCATGTACGTCAGTGTCTAGAACTGTGCTCCACAGTTTTCAATGGCAGGTGTTTCGGGGAACCTTTTTTCCTGAGGCACGTCCAGTGGATTCAAACCTCCAAATTTTTTAGTTAGCAGCTGAGTGCATTGACCATTCGCACCACCTGGGGCCTCTTCTGCTGTCACAGGCCCCTTCTTACAGACTTCTGTAAGAAGTTAGCACTAAAGGAGCTCTGATTGGTGCAGTGATTAAGGCACCGACCAAAAGATTGGTGATTTGAACCTACCAGCTGCTCTATAGGAGAAAGAGGAGGCAACTGCTTTCCTAAAGATTTACAGCCTTGAAAACCCTATGGGGCAGTTCTACTCTGTCCCAGAGGGTCGCTCTGAGTCGGAATGGCAGTGAGTGTGGGTTTTGTTTGGTTTTGGTTATAGCATCATTTGGCCAAAAGCAATTAATGTGTGTTGGTGCAACCATCTTCCCAGCCAGGTAAGACCTCTAATGCAGTGGTTCCAACCATGGCATCATACCATGCTGTTCCATCCTAGCTGATGAAGCAGAATACATTTTTTTTTTCCAAGCCAGTAGCCCCAGGAAGCAGATGTGGACGTTATGTATTGTGAAATATGTCTATCAACTATATCACGATCACACACCATCACTTTCGTTTGCTTGGATGGTGACAGGCTTTCTTGAGAGGGAGACAGTGTATATGTGGACTTTCAGAATTACATTTCCCCTTCAGCTTGTCCCTGGAACACCTGTGGCAAGGTTTACAAAGTAAGAGTTGTACTTCCACAGGTGCTTCAATTTTTTTTTAGACTGTGGATACATTTTTACTAAGAAAGAAGGCAAGGTAGCTCTAGAAAGGCTTAGTGTATGAACACCAACATACTATTCATTCAAGAAATATTCAAGGTTAAGCACCAGGGGTTAGAGAGACAAGCAAGAAAGGCACAGCCCTGCCTTCCTGTGTCTTGCGTTGGGGTCCTCAAGAGCACCTCCAGGTTCAAGGATTCACCTGGAGGACTCACAGGACTCAGCATAGGGCTTTACTCATGAGTATGATTTATTCCTCAACATAATAAAGGGCATATATGCAAAACCAACAGCCAACATTATTCTCAATGGAGAGAGACTGAAACCATTCCCCTTGCAGACAGGAACCAGACAAGGATGCCCTCTATCACCACTTCTATTCAACATTGTATTGGAAGTCCTAGCCAGGGCAATAAAGCAAGAAAGAGAAATCAAAGGCATCCAAATTGATAAAGAAGGAGTCAAAATATCCCTATTTGCTGATAATATGATCCTACACATAGAAAACCCAAGAGACTCAGCAAAGTAACTACTGGAACTAATTGAGAGATTTAACACAGTGGTGGGATACAAGATCCACATACAAAAATCAGTTGGATTCCTCTACACCAGCAAAAAGATTGCTGAAAAGGAAATAAGGAAATCAATACCATTTATAATAACTACTAACAAAAAAAAAAAATACTTAGGAATAAATCTCACTAGGGACACAAAAGACCTGTAGAAAGAAACTACAAAACAAACACTACTTCAAGAAACCATAAGAGATCTACACAAATGGAAGAACATATCATGATGGATAGGAAGATTGAACATTGTAAAAATGTCAATTCTACCCAAAGCAATCTATACATTCAATGCAATCCCAATCCAGATCCCATCAACATTCTTTAAGGATATGGAAAAAACAATCACTAATTTTATATGGAAAGGAAGGAGACCTCAGATAAGCAAAGCACTATTGAAGAAGAACAAAGTAGGAGGTCTTACATTCCCAGGTCTCAAAACCTACTATACAGCCACAGTAGTCAAAACAGTCTGATATTGGTACAACTACAGACATACAGACAAGTGGAACAAAATTGAGAACTCAGAAACAATCCATCAATCTATGGTCAACTGATTTTTGACAAAGGGTTGAAATCCATTACATGAGGAAGAGATGGTCTCTTTAATAAATAGTGCTGGCAAAACTGTACATCCATTTGCAGAAAAATGAAACAAGATCTGTATCTCACACTATATACAAAAACTAACTCCAGGTGGATCAAAGACTTAAATGTGAAACCTAAAACTATTAAAGTTCCTCAAGGAAAAAACAGGGGAAAATTTAGGGTCCCTAATTTACGGCATCTTGCCTGCTAACCAGACAGCTGGCGGTTCAAACCCACCAGCCACTCCTCGGAAGGAAGGTTGGGCAATCCTACTTCCGTAGTGATACTGCCTCGGAAACCCAAGGAGGGGTCGCTATGAGTCGGGGCCGACTCGACGGCACATAACAACAACAACAACAATTTATGGCATAAATAGATTGTCAAGCATAACCCAAAATACACAAACAGCAGATGATAAATTAGATGAATAGGACCTTCTAAAAATTAAAATTTTATGTGCTTCAAACGACTTCTCCAAAATAGTAAAAAGAGAACCTACAGATTGAGAAAAAATATTCGGCAACGACGTATCTGACAAGGGAATTACCCCTAAAATTTATAGAAAACTTCAACACTCTCAACATCAAAAAGAGAAACAATCCAAGTAAAAAATAGGTAAAGGACATGAATAGACACTTCACCATAAAGGATATTCAGGCAGCCAACAAACACATGAAGAAATGTTCACAATCATTAGCCATTAAACACACTGCCGTCGAGTTGGCTCTGACTCATAGTGACCCCTGCTTGGTTTCTGAGGTGATATCACTATGGAAGTAGATTGGCCAACCTTCTTTTTGAGGAGATGCAAATCAAAACAACAACAAGACACCATCTGGACCCAGTACTAATAGCAAAGTTCAACAAGACAGAAAATAACATATGCTGGTGAGGATGTGGACAGATTGGGATTCTCATACACTGCTGGGGTGGGATTGTCAAATGATACAACCACTGTGAAAAGCAGTATGGCGATTCCTTAAAAAGTTGGAATTAGAAATACCATTTCTAGGTATATATTCAAAAGAAGCAAGAGCCAAGACAATAGGAGGTATATGCACACCCATGTTCATCACAGCACTATTTACAATAGCAAAAAGATGGAAACAACCTAAGTGCCTATCAACAGAAGAATGGATAAGCAAACTATGGTACATACACACAATGGAATATTATGCAACACTAAAGAATAAAGTAGAATCTGCGCAACACCACATAATGTAGATGAACTTGGAGGACATTGTGCTGAGTGAAATAAGTCAATCACAGAAGGACAAATATAGTATTAGTTCATTATTGTAAAAAGTCAAGGAAAGGT